GTGTTGCTTATTTGATTTCTGGTCACATATCATGACAAGTTGTACTAGTGCTGAGGAGTGGTCCAAAAGTAAAGGAAATAAATATTATAGTTTCTACATCAGAAGTTATGCCTGCCACAATATATTTTATATGCTTTACCTAAGTAATTGGGCTGCTGTATTGTTAATTGATATGTATTTATACAACATCCCATTGTAGAGGGCAGCATAGTTAGTATCTATTCCTTTTACATAGCAAATTCTCTGCTATTTGATCCTTAACTTGTCATTTTCTCTTACCTGGCTGGAATATATGTTAAAATATTTTTCAAGAGGACATGTGGATAGTGCTTTTTCTATGCTCTTTGCTTACTTGAGAATTTTGTGTTGTTTTTTCATATGCATAAGTGATTTGATAGATATGAAATTTGGAGTAGAAACATTTTTACTGAGGACTCTGTAAATTTTTCATTGTATTCTGACATTATTTGTTACACAAAAGTCTGAAACTGGCCTGGCTTTCTCTCCAGCCCCTCCTTTTTTTTTGAAATTTAGAAAGCAAAGGAATACACACATAACACCTCCCCATAAGAAAAGGAAATATATTCATAATTCACACATCTTTTTATAAAACACAGCCCTAGAGGTTATTATAGAGGGTAAATAGATATTTTAATAATATAATGCATAATATTTATATATTAAATGTAATATATAAAAATAAATATTATGGAGGTTAAATAATACAGTAGTTACTTTTCATTAACTTTCCCTATACTTACATAGACATATCTACATATTTGTACATACACTTGTACATTTTTTTTCAAAAATCAGAGTTGGCTCTATATGTTGATCAACCAGTTATTTTTTAATCTAACAATACATCATAAACTTTGTTTTCTATCAGTTCATATAGCTGTTTATGTAGAATATCTGCAATTAAATGAAAAGTCAATTAACATACTCCTGCTTTCCAACCTGTATCACATTTCTCAGTTATTAAATAAATAGGAAATGAACATACTAATGTTTGTGTTCATGCATTGCTAATATTGTAACTTCATACATAAAATGAAGAAATTAAAATGTCAGACCGGATTTTTTTCATATAGTCAATCAAAGTAACATATTTCAACAGATTTAATGCAGAAACATAAAGAATATATTTTTCTATTAAGCCAGGCATTAGATTTGCAAAACATGTACAACAATGGCACTCTTCTCACCAACTTGTTTTGTTTTACAAAACATTTGTTTTTTCATATAAAGATATAATTATATAATTTGTCTTCATATAACATGGTTTTTATATTATTTTGAAATTAGTACATATTTTAAAATTTTAATTTCCTACATGGTAAATGATGGTAGATATAACCCATATAAACAAAGGCTTTCTTGGGACTCCAAATAATTTTTAAAATTATAAAGGGATCCTGAGATTAAAAGTTTTGAGATTTGTTGGCATACAGTATGAGGCTTATTTTCAAGCAGCCAAACAACAGCTTGGTGCTGTGCTGTTCTGACAGCCTCTTGCGGATTTTGCTGAGTTACGGGCTGTCTTGCATTGCTTTCTACAACTTGTACCCACCTGCTGTTTCTGATCTGTTTGCCTCAGAAAGATACTTTGGAATAATAGCAATGTCTATTATGAAGTGGAAATAATCCCTAAAAGATAACTTGAATAATTTGATTCAAATATTTAAGTCATTATTTATATAAATGCATATAGCATTTTACCACCTAAATTTAGATAAAAAATTCTAGTTTGATAACAAGCAAAATGACTCAAGGGAGAATTTTCTACAAAAATAATTCAAATTCTGTACATTGATATTGATTTGCGAGCATTTTAGAATTAGAATTTGTTTTTTTCTGTGTACTTATCAATGGTTTTTTTTTTTAAAAAAAAAAAGACCAAAAAATGTTTTGATTCCTGCAGATTAGTCTGTTGCAAAAAGTGACTGTCATCTTTATTATTATTATTATTGTTTTTAGTGTTTCAAAAAATAAAATTGTATTCACTTCCATTCTTTTGCCTTAAATAGAAAAGTAGAGAAAGTAAAAATGTTTTGTGTTTACAAAGATAAACAAACAGCCTCTTTACCCAGAGAAGAGCCAAACCTCAAGGACAACAGGGAAGACAAAAGTGCCCTCTCTGTACCTCCTGAGCTGACCCTGTCATCCTACAAAAAGCCTTCAGTCCACTGGCCAGAGGCCCTAGATGTGTCCAATTCAAGAGGAGGGCTAAGAAGTCAGACAGACCCACTGGTTCTCATGATATAAAGTCAAACAGAAACTACACCAAGGGTCAAGTACCTGTATTTTACAGGACATAGGAGCCAGGCAGCTACTTATAAAAAAAAAAAAAAACAAAAAAACCCCCAACAAAACAGGATTCCTTTTGGGCACAACTTTTTAATTTGTTTTATTTTTAAACTATCTTCAATATCTTTTAAAACCAAGTATCAGAAACTTTCAAGTGTAAAACACATCTGTTACACTTGGGTAGAGTTGAGAAAAGATGGTTCTTTTGGTGCTCTCTTTCTGGTAATAGAATCACAGAGCTTAGGGGACCTTGGAGTTAATCCTGTCACTTGTGATTTTGATTTTTGGAAACTGACTTAAAGAAAGATTAGCAACAGTCAGGGACAAACCCCAGCTAGGATGACCCGGGCCCCTCCTTTACTCCAGTGTGTGTTTCCTCTGCCCTCCTGTACTCCTGCTCCTTCCCTCCAGCTCCATGGGACAGCAAAGGGGGTCATGGTCAAAAGAGTCACAAAGTCCCTGGTGGGGGGTTGGATTGCTTATCTGCTTTTCCTATCCATGGCAGTTCCTTCCCCTTTCCCTTTCCTTCCCCTTTCCCTTCCCCTTTCCTTCCCTTTCCCCTTTCCTTCCCCTTTTCTTCCCCTTTCCTTCCTCTTTTTTCTCTCCCCTCTTCCTCTCCTCCTCCTTCCTCCTCCCCTCTTCTCTCTTTTCTTTCCCCTCCCTCCCTCCTTTCCTTCCCTCCCTCCCTCCCTCCTTTCCTTCCCTCCCTCCTTCCCTCCCTCCCTTCCTTCCTTCCTTCCTTCCTTTTCTTTTTTTCTCTCTCTCTTCCTCCCCTTCCTCTCCTTCTTCCCCTTCCTTTCCTTTCCTTTCTTTTTAAAACTTCAACCACAACAAAGAAAAATGTAAAAAGAGAGGAATGTCCTGAAAAACAAAATTGGTCAATTCAATGAACAGCCCAATCAAACTGAGCATATACTGTTACATAGACACCCTTTCCTCCAGATAAAACCTTACTGAAACTTTTTTACTTCTCAACTGGTGGGAAAGTTTTCCTAGACTCACTGCCTCAGCTGCTGCTGACACAGACTTAGAGTCTGAAGCAAGGTGGGAAGATGTATTTCCAATTAGTTATCCAGGTGTTTGACTTTGAAATTGGTGAGGCTGTCTGGAAAAATAAACTCTCTGTGTGGTACTATGTGGAATATGCTCTCTATCACATTTCTCAGTTATTAAATAAATAGGAAATGAAAATACTAATGTTTGTGTTCATGCATTCCTAATACTGTAACTTCATAGATAAAAATGAGGAAATTAAAATGTTCTTGTTCTTAGAGTGGTAAGATAGTGAAAGATAAATTATGTTGTGTTTTTACTAATGTGGAGCTAATACTCATTTTTCAGTTTATGCATTTCTTCTTAAATATTAAAAAATATATTAAAACTAGAAAGTCAAAGCTCAGATGTTACAGATGAGAATAAATGCTTTGGCAATCAGGGTGAAATGTCCTCAGTTATAGTTCCATTACCATTTTGTTTCTGCTACATTATTTAGATTCCAATTCTTTAGGGAAAACGTTACCCTCTTTTGCAAAAGTGGTGTTTTAGGATTCAGAAAATATTAATAAGATATGAAAATATTTGGAGAGCAAAGCTTCATTTCAGCACAATGAACACTTAAAGGTTATTTTATCTAACCTTACCTATTCTTGAAAGTATTTCTTTGGTTATTTCCCCTTTTGTTAAAAATCACCAAATAGTCAGAGAAAAATTATCTTACCCAATGTTATGTTTAGTTATTCGCACATATATTTGTTAGTCTAGGAGCACCTGTCCAATAGGTGTGCCCTTCACTGGTGTTTTGATTTTGGAAACTGAGTTAAAGAAAGATTAACTGGCAACAGGTCAGGAACAAACCCCAGCTACCACCCCTGCCCCTCCTTTACTCCAGCATTGCGGCTTCTTTATAAATAGCTTCTTTTTTTTTTTTTTCGGCATATTATGGGGGTACAGATTTTAAGGTTTCAATAAATGCCCATTTCCTCCCCTCCCCCCACAAGTCTGAGTCTCCATCATGACCATCCCCCAGATGGTGCACATCTCACTCTATAAATAGCTTCTTTATCCTACACCTTTCATGGTTTACTCCTGTCTTGAGTGTGCACCCCTGTTTCCCATTGGGACCAGGCTGATACTAAGTCACAGGAGTGGCTGAGATGGCAATGGGAGCAGTCAGGAGTGGGAAGACCCTGAGATATGCCAGTGTCATGGGATGTGCAGAGAAACTGAGGCACGAAGATTTCAGTGACCACACAAATTTGCCTTTTAGAGATTGTAGTATAGCCTTCCTCTGGAGAGTTTTGACATGGAAGCTATTTCAGGGGTCTGTGTGAGATGGGGAGTGTGCAGTAAAGTGTGGGTGACACTAGAGGACCATCTGCAGAATAAAGACTCAGGTCTCTGTATTGATTTTGTTACTCACCTTGCAGGCTCAGAAATTTGATTTTGCTAGCATACTGCAAGTATGTCTGTTTTTAGAAATGCTGGAAATGCCCATTTACTTATTTTTAGTGAGAAATACTACTGTCATCCAGGTGAAATATATAAATCATCATGCTCTACTTGTAGGCATGTTTCTGGGTCACCAAAAGTTGCTATTTTGGGTTGCTTGTTAAACAAGATGTTTCCTAAGCCAGGCTCCTATGAGCTGGTGATCCATTTCTACTCTCTGGCTCTCATTTAAAAATGATGTCTTTATACCACCTCTTCTTCTGATCATCAAAGATATATTTGTTTTTAGATACATTGCTATATTTGATGAGAGTATGGCAATATTCTTATTTTTCCTGTTCATGGCAATAGGAGTATTTTGCTCTAGGGAATATTCTTGCATATTGGTTTAAAGTCCATTTTGTGTGGACTCTACTATTTACTCCTTTCACTGTTGAGAAACAACAGCCAGGGTTTTAGGGAGTTTGTTTCCTCTTGCACTTCATGGTGGCCCTGGTGTGCGTCTCCTGCTAGCATGGGCAGGCAGGATGTGGGTCCCCTCTTATACATGGTTCATCATGGCTACAAGACAACCTATGTGCAGGTCAAAGGTGAAGAGACATATGAAGTGTTTTACAGAATACTTAACATAGGTGAGTGGTTATTAAATGGTTGTTATAACTATTGTTAATATTAATGAAATCATCAGAAGACATATCATTCTGGTAGGATATTAGAAGTTAGCACTTATTTTCTGGTTCTTATTCAGTATGTTTTTATCTTAGTTATGGGCATAGAATATTGAGATCAGAAGAAGATATTTTCATTATCCAAAGTGTGTGTGTGGGGGGGTCCTACCTTCTTTTGAAACTCATGAAATGAAGCTGATTCTTAGAATGAGTGAATTTCCAATTTCTAATGAATTGTGCTATGTTTTACAAAAAGGATTACAGAAGTTCAAAAGGGTACCTGGGCATGACTCTCTTGTGAAATATAATAATTATAATAAATCCAACTTGTAAGTAAGATATATTTAGAATAAATTAGTGGCCCAGAATCACCATTAGTTAGGAAATCTGTTTTTAATGTATATCATTTGGACTAGAATCATCCAAAAATTAAGGTAAGAACTATTTGTACCTTCTGGTATTAAGAGAAGAACTAGGCCGGGTGCGGTGTCTCACGCCTGTACTCCTAGCACTCTCGGAGGCCGAGGCAGGAGGATCGCTCAAGGTCAGGAGTTTGAGACCAGCCTGAGCAAGAGTGAGATCCTGTCTCTACTAAAAATAGAAAGAAATTAATTGGTCAACTAAAAATATATACAAAAAATTAGCTGGGCATGGTGGTGCATGCCTGTAGTCCCAGCTACTCAGGAGGCTGAGGCAGGAGGATCACTTTAGCCCAGGAGTCAGTTTCAATGGCTTATTTATCTTTCTCTGTGCTAATACCATGTTTTATTTTAATAAGGCAAGTCCCCCATCCTTAATCAAATACTTCAAAATGGTCTGGGAATTTTTTTGCCTAAAAGACACACTACTTTATCTCCTCAAAATTGTAAATCTCCAGTGGATTGAGCATTTCTTCCAATGACTAAGCCAATTCTATCCTTGACAAATCATAAGCCTGTTTCTCAGGCTAATATATTCTTCATGAGGAATAGGCATGAGTTATATCAGCTTGCTCCAGATTCCCTTGTAATAAATTTTGTTGAGAACAACCTAAAAGTATTTATAGTTTTTATTTATATTTGCTTTGTATTTTATTCTGTAGACAGGAATATTTTACTGGCTAAGTTCTGTGTCCTCAGCTTCAATGGTTTGGCACAATGATGTGTTGTGGTCAATTACGGAGTGTGTAAGAAAGACCAGTTTCTGTCTCACACTTGCTGAAATTATGCCACTTATTTACAATTAGAATCAGATCTTAATTGATATATGGCCAATGGCCCCAAGAATTATGGCCTTATACACCACCACCATCACTCCTTATTCCCAAAAATATTTCTAGTAGAATTATATATAGAGGTACAAGGAACAATACCCTGTCATTGTCAAAAAGGAACTTTTCATTGGAACTCAGGTCACTCGGGTTGTAAGACAAGGCTAACCTAGAGGCTAAGGGTGGAACTCTGTAGCTCTATCAGACAAAATTCTAAGCCAACATGGAAGCCAGAGACCCAGAGTGGGAAAGAGTAGTATAGGACATATGAAAAAGAACGCTGAACTTACTATATGGAAACAGACATCCTGGCTGCAAAGGATGAAGCAGAGACAAATGGGATAAATGAGTGGACATGATCTGGGGGTTACATCCAGATTTCCTATCTCCTTTGAAGCTTGGGTATGAGATGGGAAGAATGCCAGAGGGCTATATCATGTGCTCTATCCTTTAATGCAGTAGTCCCCAACCTTTTGGGTACCAGGGACCAGTTTCATAGAAGACACTTTTTTCCTCTCCTTCCAGGGGCGGAGTAGGGGGGAGGCAGAGCTCAGGCTGTGATGCCAGTGATGGGGCTGTAAATATGATGGAGCTTGGCTAGCTCTACTGCCACTCACCTCCTGCTGTGCAGCCCCTGTTTTCTAAGTTTCATGGGAGATGGTTTTTCCATGGATGGTGCTTGGGGTTGGGGTCAGCGGAGGTCTGTGGCCCTGTCCCAAACAGGCTACAGACTGATACCACTCTGCAGCCCAGGGCTTGGGAGCCACAGTTTCTTTTTTTTTAATTTTTAATTTTTTCATATTATGGGGGTACAAATATTGTAGGGTTACATATATTGCCCTGCCATCCTCCCCCGCCCGCCCCCTCACCCCCCTTACCAAAACATCAAGCGTATCCTGCTCTCAGGTGGTGCGCATTGCACCTATTTTGTAAGTGAAATTCTTCCCCTCCTCCCCCCTCCCATTTGCCCCCACCCGATAAAGTTTTTGTTTGTTTTTCCCATTTGACCTTTGGTTACATTGTATATCTTAGCTTTCCCTTGAAGGTTAGATGTGTTCCCTCCCCCCCCATTATGCTCACCACAACCCTAAGATGTGTATCTCCCCTCCCCCAAACCCTAGTGCGCATATCCCCATTTGAGCATCATAGTTTTAATCAGCCAGTACCAATTTGATGGCGAGTATGTGGAGCCGTTTCTTGATCTTGTGTCACCTCACTTTGATAATGGGTTAAGCTTAATGCAGGATAGCATAAACGGTGCTAGCTCACTGTCATTTTCTTAGAATTGAATAGTATTCATGTGAGCATATACCAAATTTTAGTTTCCACTCGTAGAATTGACGGACACTTGGTTGTTTTCAGATCTTGCAATAGTGAATTGTGCTGCCATAAATATTCGAGTGCAGATGTCTTTATAGTAGAATGTCTTATCTCTTTTGAGTAAATGCCCAACAATGCTATTGCTGGGTCAAATGGTATTTCTATATCTAGCGTTTGAGGTATCTCCATATCTTTTCCTCAGAGGTTGCACTAATTGCAGTCCACCAGCAGTGTAGGAGTGTTCCTGTCTCTCCACATCCATGCCAGCATTTGTTGTCTGGAATTTCTTGATACAAGCCATCTCACTGTGTTAGATGTATCTCATTGTGGTTTGATTTGTATTTCTCTGATGATAGAGAAGTTGAGCATTTTTTTATATTTTGTAGGCCATATTTGTCTTCTTTGAAAATTTCTGTTCATTCCATTGCCATTTCTGATGGGTTTGTTGATTTTTTTCTGTTTATTTTTAAGTTCTAGATAGATTCTTGTTATTAGGCCTTTATCAGAAATGTAGAGACAATATCTCCCCACTCTGTGGTTGTCTATTTGCTCTAAGTATGGTTTCCTTAGCTGTGCAGAAACTTTTAATATTATGAGATCCCATTTGTTTATTTGATGTAGCCGGCATTTGCCTGGGCTCCTTCCTTAAAAATTCTTTGCCTAGGACCAAATGTCATACGATACCCCGTTTTCCAAGCGTCTTTCTCCTAGGATTCTTAAGGTTTCAGAGAGAAAAAATGCCTTAGGTTAATCTGTATCCACTGAGTGAATTATTGATAAGACGTGAGAGATACTGAATCGATTCTTTTTCAATCTTCTGCATGAGCAACCAGTTTCTCCCAGCACCATGTTATTGAAGAGGATTTTCCCATGCGTATATTCTTGTCTTCTTATCAAATAATTAGGATATGCCATAACTGAGTTTGTCATTCCGGTATCCCAGATCTATTCTTAGATATTGATTGCTCTGTTCTTTTGCCAATACCCAGGCTGACGAAGTATTATTGCTTATAGTAAAGATGAATCAGGAAACTGATCCACCCAGTTTGTCTTTTAACAACATATCAAATTGCTATAACGAGGTTTATAAACCAACCATACAAAAGTACAAAACATAAACACAGATGCTGGGTGATTTTAATGGGATTCATTAATTCTTTAGGATACTTTAGGTAATATTTGAGATTAATGTATATGATTCTACCACATCCATGACACAAGGTAGTATGTTTCATCTGTCTTCAATCTTCTGCAATTCTTTTTTTAGTGTTTTAGATTCTCTTGATAATACTTCTGATCTTTTGTTAAGTACTTCCTAGGTATTTAACTTCCATTGGCGCTATAGTAAAGGTATTGCATTTTGATTGAGTTGCTGTTTGATGGTATCTTTGGCATATATGAATGGCTTCTGATTTGTGTATATGTTTTATTCCTGAATTATTTACCAACAATATTATATTAATCAAGCGATCTCTTGTGATGACTCCATGGGTTTTCTAGGTATAATCATCATATCATCAGCGAAGAGCGAGAGTTGATCTCATCTGCCCCACTTGGGATACCCTTAAGTATCCCTCTCTTGTCGTGATTGCTATAGCTAGGACTTGTCGAGTACTATTTTGAATAGAGAGGAAAAGTGGGCATCCTTGTCGGTCTCGGATCGAAGCGGGAATGATTTCAGTTGTTCCCCATTTAGATGATATTAGCAGCTGGTTTGTCATAAATGGATTTGATAAGTTTAAGGTATAACTGTCTATGCCTATTTTGTTAAGAGTTTTTATCATAAAGGTGTGTTGGACTTTATCAAATGCTTTTTCTGCATCTATTGTCAGAATCATATGGTTTTGTTCTTGATTTTATTATAGAAGTGAATTGCATTTATAGACTTGTGTATGTTGAACCAGCCTTGAATCCTAGAATAAAGCCCGCTGGCATGGTGAATACTATTGTTATTGTATGTGCTGCTTGAAATCATGTTCGCCTAGAATTTCATTTACGGATTTTTGCATCTGTATTCATGAGGGATATTGGTCTATAATTTTCTTTTTTTGTTACGTCCTTTCCTGGCTTTGGTATCAAGGTGATATTGGCTTCGTAGAATAAGTTAGGAAGGATACCATCTTTCTCAGTGGTGTTGAATAGTTTCTGTAGTATAGGTGTGAGTTCATCTTTGTAGGTTTGGTAGAACTCTGAAGTGTAGCCATCGGGTCCGGGACTTTTCCATTTGGGGAGGTTTTTAATTACTGCTTCAATTTCTGAGCTTGAAATTGGTCTATTCAGGAGATCTATTACCTCCTGTGTGAACTTAGGGAGGTTGTATGTATCCAGGAATTTGTCCATTTCATCTTCGTTCTGTAGTTTTTGGGCATATAGATTTTTATGGTAATCAAGTATA